GTTTCTAGCTATCCTCTGTTACAGTATCTTTTTCTCAACCCTGGTGCTATGGTACTTTTGCAACTTCTCCGCCTTTGTTTCGCTTTTGGTTCTGAGCACCTCCCTTTCCTTCTTTTTCTCTGTCTTCTCTGATATTCTGATTTTTATCTATTGCTTACAATCTTACAGCTTGGTTAGGAAAGACTAGGCTATTATTAGCCCTTTTCACAATTACTCAAATTGCTAAGATGGGTATCTTCTCTAATTAGCTCGGGATGTTCTGGTTTGGGCCAAAGAAAAGTGAATCCAGTGGGCTCCTTATACAGATTTAGGTTTCTAGAGGCTTTTATGAGGGTGACAGGAAAACCTCCCGCTCTCTGCAACCTTTGCCTGATAAAATGGCCATGGCAACTTTAAATTCAGCTAATTTTAACCCTGAACTCCCTGGCAATGAAGCATTTTCAATCTGGGGTGCCAAAAGGGAGGCACCTGAATAAGAGTGGCCTGGTTTCCAAAAGGGCTAAGCAATGGGGGAAATGTGGCAGATCAGCCCCTCTGAAAAAAATCAGCCCACGTTTATTAGGTGCCTAAAATGGATGTAAGTGCCTCTTTCTGGGCACCCAAGTTTTAAAAATTGCAACCAAAGGAAATAACTGTAAAAGACAGCTGAAACTCATTCGTATCCATTTTCCCACTTCGCAGCACAAATGTAGCAGCAATACAGGCTGCAGTGCTTTGAAGTCAGAGTGGGCCAAGAGGAAGCCAGTGCAATGTGTTTGCCTTGCCTCACCACAGATTCCTCCACTGCTGCTACATTTCTCCCCTAGACAAGACAGAACAAAACCAAGTCGGTAACAACTCAGAGCTGTACTGCATCACACTGGGTTGCTCAGCAGCCACAGGGAGGCCTTGCCAATGGGAGCCTGACTCCCTCTGGAACCATGCTGCCCAAAGCTGAACCGGTGGAAAGAAGGCAGGGACAATGTACTGGCTTGTCTCTTTGTGCACAAGGGGGCTTCCTTCCCTGTAGGTAGTTGCCCACGAGCCCCTGGGTGCAAAGGGTCACAGACTCTGAAATCTGCAACACTCCAAATCCCGTTCATCAGTGGGGTCGATTCACTTTGGCACAATTTTCTTCCTTCCTTCCTGCTCCCTATGGGTTTCTATCCTATTTGTTTAAGACCAGTGCATTTTAAATGTAGCGTTGGATACATCTTTTCATGGATTATGGTTTTTGGATTGTAGTTTCTCACCCCGAGTCACCACTGGGAACAGGATATCCCTTAACTTCTATTAATAAATAATACATTGGGTAATATTAATGTCAGCCATGCAAGTCCAAAGAAATACCACTGTCCCCCAAAACAAACAAACCATTAACTCTAGGGTTTTACAGATAGGTGAGATGGCTCATCCATTCAGCTTCCAGAGGTGGTCTTACTGACACATCTGGATCAATCAAAACATGGGTTGCTGAGAAAACAGCAAGGAAAGAGTTGTAATAGCCTAGTTAAATGCAGCATGTCATCCCCCTTGCCCTATAGTCACAAATAAATCTCACTTCAATTGAAAAATTATCCCACTGTTTCCCTCAGGTATTATTATAATTAATACTCTAATAGATTATTATAGCAAGCAATGCTGCAATTTCTAAACAGATCAATAGGTCTTGTACAATACACTTTATTATGACCCTTTATTCCTGGATGCGGCTAATATCCAGGTCCCCTGTACTCTGAGTCTGCTTGTGACATATTTTCCACAGAATCCATCCATTGCTGTAACACTGTTCCCCAGGCTCTAGCCTTTTATTTAAAATAACAATGGGTTTCTAGCACTGGCAGTTATCTAGTGGGATTTTCAAAGGCAACTAGGGGCCTAACTCGTTGAAAATCCCACTAGGTGGCTATTTGCATTTCTAGGCACTGAAATACTTTTAAAATACCTTTAAGTGTAAACAGTGCAGTGTTGTCTTCCTGAGTCCTGCAGACAGCCTGAAACTATACCTCTGAGAGGTGAGTCCTGCCCTGTGTAACTCCTTTGGGGTTTAGAGAGCATGGCCCCTTTAAATCTCTTTTCTGGGGGGACGGGAGGAAGTGCTGAGTGTTCCAGAAGAAGAAAGTGCTGTTTGGGGGGGAGGGGAAGAGAGCAGAAAAAGAGGGGAGAGCGACAGAGGTGTGTGTCAAGAGCTCCAGGGAGAGAAGGGCTGCAGCAAGCAAGCCCCACAAAGTGAAGCAGCTGAGAACCTGCTTGACGCCTGTGAGGAACAGAGCAACTGATCAGGGACACCCCAGGACAGGAGCCAGGAGGAGCACTGTGCCAGGGAGGAATTGCCCGAGAAGGACAGGCCGGAGCTGGACTCAGTATCACGGCTGCCCAGAGCTGCATGGGGCTGTGAGTACTGGGGCTTGTGACTCTGCACTGGGAACAAGGAGGGAAGTTGCTAGATAGTTAAGTGGGGAGATGGTCACTCTGTGTGGCTTTGCAGAGAGCGGCAGAAGATGGCACCGGAGGGGTTTGTTGGGGAAAGTTTACTGGTGCCAAAGATGACCAGGAACACCCAAGACTCACCACTGGACTGGAACTTTGCCCAGGACTCCTGAACTCTGTGTGCAGACACATTGCTCAGTGTCTGCCCTTCCAGACTGTGCTACCACTGGGCCTTTGGGGCCTTGTGTTGGATGCAACCCTGTTTTACCACTCCCCTTCCTTTCCTCCATGTTGTTTTTTCTCCTTTCATTCCTCTGTAAGTAAATATTTCCCTTTCCTATATTCATCGTATTCTTCCAGTGTGTGTGTATTCACTCTGGGGGGTTTGGAACAGGTACTCCTGGGGTGAAATGGACTTTCCCTGCTGCATTCCTGCGTGCGCCTTCTCTTGGCCAGAGTTGCCTGCAGCACAGACTCCATCTTGGCCACAAGGGCACTGAAGTTACACCCGTCTTCTCAATGAGCTGGTAACTCTGAAACCTAAAGATGACTGGTATAAGCAACTTTATTAGCTATTTCACTGATGATCATTTCAGGAAAAACATCCAGTAAATGGCCCCTTTGGGAATAACATGTGTAATGCTGACAGACCCCAGTCATTGGGATAGAATCTGGGATCTCTGGAGCTAAATGCATGAACCTCTACTGCATGAGCTAAAAGCTATATGGCTTTTAACTAAGGCTGTAGAGCAGACTCATTAATCTCTAGGTCTACACTACGGGGGGGGGGGTAGGGTGTCGACCTAAGATACGCAACTTCAGCTACGCTATTCGCATAGCTGAAGTAGGCGTATCTTAGGTCGATTTTCCTGGCCGTGAGGATGGTGGCAAGTCACTCACTGCCGCTCCCCCATCCACTCCGTTTCCGCCTCTCGCTGCGGTGGAGTTCCGGAGTCGACGGCAGAGCGATTGGGGATCGATTTTATCGCGTCTACACTAGACACAATAAATCAATCCCCGATAGATCGATCACTACCCGCCGATCCAGCGGGTAGTGTAGACATACCCTAAGTGGTCTCGGTACCACTAGAGGGGACAGAACACCACACCCAGAAGGTTTGTGGATTACACGTATGCTAATATAGAATTGTATGTGGTAATAACATTAGTAATTTCACTACAGTTTAGTTTTATTTTATTGCATTCATGTGTCCAAAAATGAACAAATGGAAATTCATGCATAAAGGAAAAGGTTATTTTATGTTTCAGTGTTAAGTCTTGGGCTCCAGTTCTGTGATCTCTATTCAAGCAACACCCTAATTGTAAGGAAATTTCAGGCACTTGATGTCTAAAACAGCCACCAAACCTACGGGATTCTAATAGGATTGAATCCAATCGCATGATGAAAAGATACTTGGACAGTATTTTAAATATGCTGATCAAAAGGAACCCTCTACTCTAGGATATTGTTTAGGTTTAGCAATGGTAGACTGTCTCAAAGAAATCTAGAGCTCAACTTTCCTAAAAACAATGAGGATTAGGATTTGGTATATGACAAACATGATAGACTTGGGCTCCAATAGTCAGGTAGTTAATATTATCATTCTTTGAGTGCCCTCTACTGGCTGTTATATGGCACAGTAACAGAGGTCAGCTTCAGAATAAACTAGCCTAAAATGTCTGGGTTTTGCTTTGAAAACAAAGTCACTACAAAGCTGAAAATATTTCACTGATCAACTTAGTAAATAATTTAGTCTAATTTTTATAAAATGCTATAACCAGGGGTGAAAGTAACTTAAAGGACTTACCGGTACACTGGAGTCCTGAGCAGGGGCGTGGCCTCAACCGGAAGAGGCGGGGCCTTTCAAGATTTAAAGGCCCTGGGGCTCGGGCTGTGGCTGGGAGCCCCAAGGCCTTTAAATCACCCCGGAGCTACCAGCTGCAGAGGCGGCTGGGAGCCCCAGGGCTCAGGGGCAAATTAAAGGGCCCGGGGCTCCGGCCACCGCGGAGCTCCGGGCCCTTTAAATCACCGCGGGAGTCCGGCTGCTGGAGCTCTGGCGGCGATTTAAATGGCTCAGGGCTCCCCGCAGCGGCTGAAGCCCTGGGCCCTTTAAATCACCGCCGCGGAAGCCGGTCCAGTCCGGCACGGCATACTGGCTCTTGCCGCTGTGCCGTACCGTACCGTACCGACTTACTTTCACCTCTGGCTATAACTCTGAACTCAGTTAATCATCATCACTTTAAAATGTCTTTTAAAAAGAAAAAATAATAAAATAATTATCAATGTACTTAAAGATATGATGGATGAATCAGTCACGATTTCAAAAAACAGGTGCCTACAATTAGACTCTTAAGTCCATATTTAGACACCTAAATCAGTGCCCCGTAATTTACTCCATGAGTAGTCTCATTGAAAGTAATGTGAATAAATTTGGAATAAGCTGCTACAAAACAGTATTAAGAGTATCAGAAGCTGGTCTTTTTTTGGCTTTAATATTAGTAAATTTGTGGTAAACTGTCAATTTGAATGCTTTTGCAATGGGGTGGTATTTTCCAAAAGTACCTAAGTTAGGAGGACAAGTTCCACTGACTTTCTCAGAGGTGCTTTTGAAAAACGCCCTTTTTTTTTTTTAACTGCTAGTTTTGAAAGTGAAATCTTTAAATCGTAGATCCTGGTTTGTTGTGGAGGGTTTTTTTTTGCATTCTTTAAAAATAAATTATTCAAGTTTTGCTGCTTTCCTGTGGATGTCTAGAGAGGTCCTTTTAGGCAGAGGAATAGTGAAACTGAGTATACACAGAGTACTGTCAAAATCTACAAAGTAAAGAAAAATAATTGATTTTTTCAGTTATTTCATTTACAGCAAACTTAGGTGCTTCTTACTAGAGCCAGTTGAAAATTTTCCAATAGAACAGTTTGGAAAATGCTGATTCAATGAAATTGAAACATTTTGTAGGAACATATTGATTTCATCAACATTTTCAACAGGAAATTAATGAAATGATTTGTTTTGATAAGGTGGAAATATTTCATTTTCATAAAGTGAACATTTTTTGTTTCAGTAAAACATTTTGACCTTATTGTTTCAAGTTTATATCATATTATCATTTATAAAAACAATATAATATATAAAAGTAAAAATCTTATGACATTTATATTATGAATTATAATGTAATATGACATAAAAGTTAAAATTATGTCAAAACAAAATGTTTCGATAAGGTTGTTTTGATGTTTCCTAAACAAAATATTTTGAATTTTTCATTTCACAGTAAAAATCTTGAAATATCAACTTTTTGTTCCAATTCAGGATGAAAGCAAAACTTGAAATGCTGGAGTTTCTGCTGGAACAGAAATTCCATTTTATGACCAGCTCTACTTACAACGTCAGTAGGCACAACATTTTCAGTTGGAAAAATGATTTTCAAGTTGAATGTCCCTGAGGACACAGAGGAAAAAGAGGGTTTGGGCCTTCCACCTAAATATTCACTGGCCAGAGTTCAGAAAACTACACTAGCTTCTTACTGTAGTGTGCAGAGCCTTACAACTATGCAAAGTCCTTTTGACTTCAATGGGACTGAGTACAGGTGGATCTGTGGGCAGGACTTGGGCCTTCCAGTGTAGTATTTGGAATGCAGTTACTGTGCCAGAAACCACATTCAAGCCATTTAAAAATTATAAACAGTTGCAATTAACCATGCCAAACAGGATTTTCCTTCATTAGTTAATTAACGGGATTGGTTGTGTGTGTCATTGATAAGGTAGTTAAATATAAATCATATGTGCACCTAGTTGCCCTTGTCATTGACTATGTGTTCATTCTGGTTTTTCATTCTGAGCAGTGTTATTGTTTTGTTCAGGACATTCTGCAAGTTGATTTTAAAAGATGCTGTCCTGATTCATTCAACATGATTCATGGATGTAAGTGGATTTTCTAAATACGTGATTCTCTTTCCACATCAGAAGAACTTGATAAATATTCATTGCTCTTTGAGTTAGCTTCTTTGTTCATAGGAACACTTTCTTGCCCTCCATTATCTGTGGATTTGGGGTCCCTTGCTTGGTACTGTTTCTTCACCATTGTATAAAACAGGAAAGCTAAGAAGTAGGATGGTAGTCTGAAGCTTGCTACTAGGCCAAAGTAGGTATACCTGTGAAGGGAGAAGACAAAAGGCAGTTCTCCTGATATAAACAAACTTCAAAAGAACTGCAAGTACTAACATTACTTATAAACAGATCTTTTCAGGAATAGTACAAAAATCAAAAATGCACAGTAGTCCCTGAACTCTTTAATACAATAGTTTAGGAGACAAAATCTAAAACAACTTTGTGAATGGTGCTATAAAGTGGACATTTTCACTGTTTACACTATGATTTATGCCTTTGAAAAATATGTGTACAGTAATAATCGATCATTTTTCCTCTACTCCTGCTGAATTTGTACAAGCTTCTGGGGGCCAGGATTCTTGCAGCAACTGTAAGGGTCATGGGATCTCTAGTCCTGGCTACTCAGCATAAAAATAAAAATACTCCACAAATGTGTGGCCATCAAGAGTTGCATGAAGTAAAACAAATGTGAAAAAACGGTTGCTTTGAATATTCTTCAGGCAGATATTTTTGTTTGTGCTTAACAAGCATTTCTCTACAACATTTCTCCTCAGCTGCCCAATAGCATGTTTTTTTATTTGTTCACACAATAAACACAGTCAATAAAGTGAAATTGGCAGTCTTCCCAATATGCATGGTAGGCAATGTGAATTTGGATGTCTTTTCTATTCCTGCTCATGAATCACACAATGACTATGGATTTCTGAGCTGGTCCAAAAGTGGAGAATGTATATCCATTATTCAGGAAAGACTCGGTCATTGATGTCAAAGAGAGTTTTGCCTGAATGAGTAAGGCCTGTATAGAGTATTGAGAAGAGACTTTAGGATTTGACCCCAAGATTAGTTAATGTGAAGATTTCTTGACATTTGAGATTTTGTACTGACCTATATGAAGGTGAAGCCAACATTAGATGACCAGGGCCAGAGCATCAAATAATTTAGAGTCCTGATGCAGAAAGGAAACTCACGACCACTCTGTGTTTTGATTTAACTTACCTGTATGCACCAGAATCATATATCCTACAAGCTCCTCGGTGCCCACAGCTTCCGCTTCCCCATTTCAAGCATGTCCTGTCTATTAATGCACCAAAATAAATGGGGGCTGGAATTCCGGCTGCAATAAAACATTCAAAAATATATCACTATGTCATATTATGAGGCACGACTTTAGAAAATATAATAGCATTTTCATACTAAGCTCCAACCCTGCCCTGTGCTGTAGTGGTGCTCAAGGTGGGCAGTGGGTTATAGGGAGTCGCTTCCTCCCTTTATAGAAATTGGACAGGATCCTTCAGAATAGTGAGCTGATTGACCACTTTTGGTGCTGTTTGGAGCGCCACAGTAACGTGGTCTGACAGCTGAGGGCCTGGCCAGGCTATCAGCCTGTGGTGACACACATGGCGTTCTCCAGCATGTATTAGCTCAGCAGTCCCCAAACTGTTCTGTAAAGCACGGGTGGTTTGCAGCTCAATCGCTGCAGCAGTTTTCAGGACTTAGTGGTACATGGACCTCATGCTGACCCTCTATACTGGGGTGAAATTCATCTTATGAGCCTGGCACTCCTCTTTGTTTCCTACTGAAAAAAGTATGGGGGGGAAGGGGAGGAGAGATGAAACCAAGTGCAAAAGTAGATGGTTGGCAAAATTGTCAACGCTGCTTCAGGCCCAGATTTTAAAGGCGTTTAGGCATAACCCCACACAGTACAGTATAACTCAGGCACCTAAGTCACATTTTCAAAAGTAACTTAGGCACTTAGGGGCTAAATTCACAAAGGATTTAGGTAGGGTTACCATATTTCAGCAAGAAAAAAAGAGGACGGGAGGAGCCCCGCCCTAGCCCCGCCCCTGCCCCTCCCACTTCCCGCCCC